TTTTTTTTTTGTTTTTTTTTGTGTGTGTGGGGGGGGGGGTAATTTCCACCATCATACTTCACTCTTATCTGCCTTACCCTCTCCTTCCTCATTCTTTGCCCATCCCATCCCACCCTCACTACCATCTTTTGTGTAATCATTTTCAATTTTGTTAGAAATATATTCTGTTGTAAGTTTAAGTCAAGAAGACTACGATTTTGTAAAAATAATGTCAGTGATGACATCATTTTGCACTGATGAAGTTCTATGACCGAAAAGTCTGCAAATTTTGTTATCCCGTTTATATTTTTGTTTTGATCCTTATTATCCCAATTTCGTCTCTAAAACAAGTTTAAAAAAAATTATCTTACCGTCACAATGTGTATACATAGTACGTGTATTACCAAATGTTCGACTGAGTGAGCTGGTAATTTGATGCAAGTAAGATTTCTTACTGTCCTTATTATATTGTTACTATCAAGAAGTCTTCGTTTTTGTAAAAATAATGAAGTTCGACTACCAAAAACTCAGAAAATGTTATCATCCCGTTTATAATTTTGTTTTGATCCTTATTATCCCAATTTCGTCTCTAAAACATGTAATACAGAATATCTTACCATCACAATGTGTATACATTGTACACGTATTACTGTAAATATTCGACTAAATGAGCTGGTAATTTGATGCAAGTAAGATTTGTTAACATCCTTATTACATTATAACTGTACGTGAGTGCTTATAATGCTGTAATTAACATTGACAAAGAAATTTTGAGAGACAATGGAGTCCGAGCAGCTTGTTTTGAAAGGAGATTACGCTGCGTACGCTGCATTGTTTTGAACTTACAAAGATGGCGGCAGCCCCGATAAGCTCCGCCCTTTCGGCTTCAACTTGGTTGGAACTGTTGAGCGGGCGACGCAACGTTAGGGCCTCTCCCTATATAGTTACTCCAAGGAGCAGAGACACTTCAGAGGCGAATAGCGTGGTCTGCGTTGCGTTGCGGTAAAATCAGGCGCTCGTCAAAATAAGGAAATCGAAGCTAATATCAACATTTTACCATCTGTTGGGCATATTATTCGGCTGCGCCGGGGAACAGCGACTGCTGACGTCATTTTACCGGGGAACAGCGACCGGGGAACAGCGACTAGTATTTTACTATATTTCTTTGTTACAGTTGAACTTGGTGTAATCGCCTACAGTGTCGAATACAATTAGACCAAACATGTTACAATTCGTTTCGATTTTCAGAAAGCTTAACTAGAGCTCAGTCAAATCTCCCGCCAATCTGTTCATAAGGAGGAACAAGAAAGAGAGAAGTTGATCACAGCGTAAAAGCAATAAGGAGCTGTTGCAGAGAGAATTTTAAAGAAAAATTTCTTTTAAAATGCTGTCAGCTCAGTAGCAAGTTTGAAAACAGTCTCTAGAATGTTCTTAGAGTCTGAACTTTTGTTTCTCTCTCTTTGCATTGTCCTCTTCAGGTGGGTGTCATCATTTTCAGTGTAGATGCTGCGATTGCAATTCTCCGTTTTTTCGTTGTTTTCCGATTTGATATTGTTTCTCCATGATTGGTTTAGCATACTCCTACCCGATCATACTCTTATTCACATGATCACACACACACATACACACACAAACACACACACACACACACACACACACACACACACACACACACACACACACACACATACACACACACAAGCACACACACACATACGTTATACCCCCTTCTCTCTCTCACTAACACACACGCACACACATACACATACGTATACAAACATACATACAATCACACACACGTACACACACAAACACACACACACACACACACACACACACACACACACACACATACATACAGAGAGAGAGAGAGAGAGAGAGAGAGAGAGAGAGAGAGAGAGAGAGAGAGAGAGAGAGAGAGAGAGAGAGAGAGAGAGAGAGAGACAATCACATACATTTATAATTGGTGTTATTTTATTAGACATACAAGCACGTGTGTGTATCTATAAAGTACAAATACAATGAAAACAAACACACCGAGCTAACAAGCAAATAAACAAACAGGCTCACGATATTTAGTGGGGAGTCATTAATGTATGAAGCGTAGATGTACGTGTGTGTATCATTTAGAGAGAAAATAAGGGGGAAAACAAAACACACCAC